GACAACCTTGCGATTTAGCCTGGAGTTAAAAGATAACATACCCTCACCCTAAGCACACAGCTGCTACATCTCCGCTGATAAGCTCACAGCTGCGACATTCCAGAGCCTCCTACATCCCTAGTGATAGGCTACGCCCATGGACCTCCTTGCCCACCCCCTCCCTCTAGAACAACATAAATTCTACCCGCTGTAAAAATAAAATTGAGGCTTAATCAGAACTTTGTCTTGCCTCCATTTCTTCGCATCTCCTATCCTCTCATTCCTTTGCAGGATTTGGTGCAGTGTACCCACGAAGCATGCCCTGCAGGTTGGGGCAAAAAAATATTTTTATTTTTATTGACTTCAGAGAGGAAGGGAGAGGGAGAGATAGAAAGATCAGTGAGGAGAGTGAATCATTAATCGGCAGCCTCCTGCATGCCCCCCACTGGGGAGTGAGCCTGCCATCCGGCATGTGCCCTTGGCTGATTTGAACCCAGGACCCTTCAGTCCACAGGCCAGTGCTCTAGCCACTGAGCCAAACCAGCTAAGACTGTTCCATTGGTTTTTAGAGAGAATGGAAGAGAGAGGGAGAGACAGTGAGAAACATCGATGTGAGAAAAACACATCGCCTGGTTGCCTTCTGCTCACACACTGACCAGCGCCCTGCTGAGGAGGAGACTACAACCGGAATGGAACGCGAGACCCTTAGGTCTAAAGGCCAATGCTCTATCCACTGAGCCACACAGGCTAGGGTTATCCTGTGGCTTATTGAAGCCAGCAAGAAACCAAGCTAAAGGTACTTATTTCCACAGCCATTACTCACAGCAAATGATTCTAAAACTGTGGAGTGGGTTTTCAACGATGAAAATCATAACATACTCATTGCATCTTTTTTAAAAATATATATATTTTATTCATTTTTTACAGAGAGGAAGGGAGAGGATAGAGAGTTAGAAACATCGATGAGAGAGAAACATCGATCAGCTGCCTCCTGCACACTCCCCACTGGGGATGTGCCCGCAACCAAGGTACATGCCCTTGACCGGAATCAAACCCGGGACCCTTCAGTCCGCAGGCGGACGCTCTATCCACTGAGCCAAACCGGTTAGGGCTCATTGCATCTTTTTAAAAAATATATATTTTTATTGATTTAAGAGAGAGAGAGAGAAACATCAATGATGAGAGAGAGAATCATTTGATCCACTGCCTCCTGTACAACTCCTACTGGAATTGAGCCCACAATCCAGGCATGTGCCCTGCCTGGGAATCAAACTGTGACCTTTTTCCTAGGTCAGTGCTCGACCACTGAGCCACAATGGCTGGCCTCATTGCCTCTTTTGATACATGGCACAAGTGGTCATGAATTTCCAGGACTTCATTTTATTTTGGAAAGCTTTCTAAAATGGCCACGTGGAGCTCACATAAAAGAGGGTGTGTGTGTTTCGTTCATGGTAGTGTTTACTCAACTCATTCTGTAATTGTTGAGGAGCCTTATGGAAGACATATAAGTACTCCAGAACAAGCATGTCAAACTCAAAGCTAACATGGGCCAAATAAACAAGGTTTAAGTATATGTGGGCCACAAAAAAGAAAAGAAAAAAAAAAGCTTCAATTTTCATAGAAACGTAGGTTTATTTCGATAGAGACATGTTGAATACAAAGGGCTGAAATAAATGAGTCATCCACATAAAATAATAGAACATTTTAATAAAAATTAATATTTTTTCTTGAACATTGACTTACCAGACACTGAATAACTGCACAAATGAATAAGCGTAATGCAAATAAACCGATTTTTCTTGTTCTCTGAAAGTGAGATATTTTCTGTTGTGAACACCAAAGAAGTCAGTCCAAGACTAATGACTTGGCCACCAGCTGCTAAAATATTCGCTGCTAGTATTAGTGGAGAGAAATGGTGCACCTGCGCGTAAGCTGCATAAGGGAAATGAATGCAAAATGATGATAGTAATCAGTCATTAACAAACATTGTAGTTCGTTATTAAGAATTATCTCTAACAGGATATTGTAAAAGTTAAGTTGCGAAATTTTTATCAAAACGTTTCTTACATACCTTTATATAGGCTGGGCCGCAAAAATATTCGTTGTGGGCCACATGCGGCCCGCGGGCCACAAGTTTGACATGCTTGCTCTAGAAGATACTAGAGATTTGTGTTTTTATCATCTACTTCTTAATAAGGATTTGACAATAGTGCCAGAAGACATATCCCTTTTTTTGGTATAGATAATTTGTTTGGAAATTACGGACATTAACAGAGCTGGTTAGGGGTCCTGTAAATAACTTTGAAAATGGAATCTGAGTGACAATATTGTGTCCTTATGTTCCATATTAACTATCTGTCATCCATTTAATCCATCCATCCATTTATGTTATCATCCATCCATCCATCCATCCATCTATCCATTTACTAGAAGCCCAATGCACAAAATTCGTGCAAGGGGCTTGGCCCTCACACCCTCAGCCAGCTCTCACAGCCCCAACTTCATCAGGAAGCTCGTCCAGACAGTCGTCTAGAATGTCAATGTCATTTGGATGGTCGTTCTGCTGTTCGGTCTAATTAGCATATTAGCTCTTTATTATATAGGACTAGAGGCCTGGTGCACAAAAATTTGTGCACTCGGGGGGGGGGGGGGGTCCTTCAGCCCGGCCTGTGCCCTCTCGCAGTCTGGGACCCCTCGGGGGATGACCACCTGCTGGCTTAGGCCTGCTCCCCGGGGGATTGGGCCTAAGCTGGTGCTCAGACATCCCTCTGGCAGCCCGGCAGCCCTTGGGGGATGTCCACTTGCCAGCGGGGAGCAGACCTAAGCTGCAGTCGGACATCCTTAGCGCTGCTGAGGAGGCAGGAGAGGGTCCCACTACCACCGCTGTACTGGCAGCCATCAGCCTGGCTTGTGGCTGAGCAGAGCTCCCCCATGTGGGAGCGCACTGACCACCAGAGGGCAGCTCCTGCATTGAGCGTCTGCCCCCTGATGGTCAGTGTGTGTCATAGTGACCAGTCATTCCCAGTCTTTCTGCTGTTAGGGTCAGTTTGCATATTACCCTTTTACTATATAGGATAGAGGCCTGGTGCACGGGTGGGGGCAGGCTGGTTTGCCCTGAAGGGTGTCCCGGATCAGGGTGGGGGTCCGGCTGGGGTGCCTGGCCAGCCTGGGTGAGTAGCTGATGGCTGTTTGCAGCTGGTCACACCCCCTTCAGGGTGGGGGTCCCCACTGGGGTGCCTGGCCAGTCTGGGTGAGGGGCAGAGGGTCGTTTTCAGGCTGGCCTGTGACTGAAGCTCCCAGCCTCTCCTTTTTATCTTTTTTCTTTTTATTCTGGGATTTATTTACCTTCTACAATTGAAACTCTGTTGCCGTCACTGGCGCTCCCAGCTCTGAGGCCACAGCTGGCTGAAAGCAGGTATCTGGGGTTTGTTTGGCTTCTATAATTGAAACTTTGTTGTCGTCCTGCTCGCTCCAGCTCTGAGGCCGCGGCTGGCTGAAAGCAGGTATCTGGGATTTGTTTAGCTTCTATAATTGAAACTTTGTTGCTTTTGGAGCTGTTGCTTTCGGAGCTTAGAGCAGGCCACAGCAGGCGGGGAACCTTGGCTTCCTCCATCACTGGAGCAAGGAAGCCTCCTGCTTGCTTCAGCTGTGTGGCTGCCTGTTGGGGTCCAACCCCAACAGGTCCAGGGATCCCCAAAGGTGTGGACGGAGTTGGCGAAGAATGAATGACATGGAAACTGGGTTCAGTTCATCAGCATAGCAAGGTTCTCCCTTCAGGATCTCCAGCGAAGTTCTGGTTAGGAACTCCAGCGAAGTTCTGGTCAGGATCTCCAACCAAGTTCTGGTGCCATGTTCTCTCGCTAGGTTCTGTCTCTAGGTTCTGTAGTCAGGTTCTCTTGCAAGGTTCTCTAGCCAGGTTCTCCAGCCAGGTTCGGTTGCCAGGTTCTTTAGCCAGGTTCTATCCAGGTTCTTTTGCCATGTTCTGTCTAGGTTCTCCAGTGAAGTTCTGTAGCCAGGTTCTGTCCAGGATCTTTTGCCATGTTCTCTGGCTAGGTTCTGGTTAGGATCTGATGAGGTTCTGGTTAGGAGCTGATGAGGATGTGATGAGGATCTGATGTTTATTGTCTTGTTACATCCATATTTATACCAGCCGATTTTAATCCTGTCAATTTCTATTACAAAGGTTAGGGCGTTTCTTATCTCCATTCCAGGGAGTAAAGATTATGTAGCTTAACTACCCGCCTGGCACTTAATTAAGGGGTTATATCCCCTCCCTAACCTCAGGGAAAAATCCCCACCTGGGGAAACAACCTTTCTCGGAGAGGTGACCTTGGTTAAAACACATAGCACCAAGAAGGTGAGCAAACATATTAAGAACAGTATGCCATATATGCCAGGTCCCTTGAAACAGCAAGGATGGACCGGCTCCCGGCAGCTGCCGGCCGCCATCTTTGTTGACAGTTAATTTGCATATCTTGCTGATTAGTCAATGGGAAGCGTAGCAGAGGTACAGTTAATTACCCTTTTTGTCTTTTATTAGATAGGATGCTATCATCCATCCATCCATTTATTTATGCTATTATTCATTCATCCATCTATCCATCCATCCATTTATGCTATTATTCATCCATCTATCTCATCCATCCATCCATCCATCCATCCATCCATCCATCCATCTATCCATCCATTTATGGAATCATCCCTCCATGTATCCATCCATTCATCCATTTATACTATCATCTATCCATCTATCGATCTATTCATCCATTTATGCTATCATCCATCCATCCATCCATCCATCCATCCATCCATTTGTTCATTTCGTAAATATTCCTTGATAATTTATAGCGAAAGAAGCCTCTAATAGATGCTAAGGTGCCCACCAAAAAGAAAAGTAATTGGGTCCCTGCCCCCTGAAAAGTAGGCCGAGAAGAAGTAATGACCTTCCTTGTAGAGGTGCGGCAGGCCTCCCTGTGTCACTTGCCGAGATAGCAGCTCCAGCTCTGTCTCCTCTCCCTCAGCACCACCTGAAGAGGCTGGAGGGCCGCTGCCTGGACTACGATTATAAAAGGAAGCACGTCGGGAAGATCCCCAACGATGAGATCACACAAGCAATGGAAAAGTTTGAGGAGTCCAAGGACTTTGTGGAGAGATGCATGTTTAATTTTTTAGAAAATGATGTAAGTATTGACTCCAAGGAGACCCTCCTGGGAATGGAAACATTGACTGTGTGTTTTTTTTGTTTTGTTTTGTTTTTTAAATATATTTTATTGATTTTTTACAGAGAGGAAGGGAGAGAGATAGAGAGTCAGAAACATCGATGAGAGAGAAACATCGATCAGCCGCCTCCTGCACATCTCCTACTGGGGATGTGCCCGCAACCCAGGTACATGCCCTTGACCGGAATCGAACCCGGGACCCCTCAGTCCACAGGCCGACGCTCTATCCACTGAGCCAAACCGGTTTCGGCTGACTGTGTGTTTGAGGGGAAGCTCTGGGAGCCTTTGTTGTTATAAAAGTTTCCGGAAATTTCTTTTATTTATATACTGGTGGCTGGGTGCACGGATTCATGCACATTGAGAGGAAATTAATTAGAAGAAAGATTCATGGTGTACTTATGTTATTGCAAAAAATTACATGTCAAAATAGTATATATAATATCTACACTAATAAAAGAGAAACATGCAAATTGGTGTCACTCCACTACACCTACCAGCCAATCAGGATGAGTATGCAAATTAACCCAACAAAGATGGTGGTTAATTTGCATATGCAGGCTCGGAGCGAAGACTGAAGACAGCGTAGAACAGTGGTTCTCAACCTTCTGGCCCTTTAAATACAGTTCTTCATGTTGTGACCCAACCACAAAATTATTTTCGTTGCTACTTCATAACTGTAATGTTGCTACTGTTATGAATCATAATGTAAATATCTGATATGCAGGACGGTCTTAGGCGACCTCTGTGAAAGGGTCATTCGACCCGCCAAAGGGGTCGCGACCCACAGGTTGAGAACCACTGGTGTAGAAGGAAGCCAAAGTGCTACAGAAGGGAGCAAAGTGGCGGAGAAGGGAGGGAGCCGAGGCAGCGGAGACGGGAGTGGAGCTGAGGCAGCGGACACAGGAGTGGAGCCCGCTGAGGCTTTCTCTGCTTCGCTCCAGCCACAGGAAGCCCTATTCTTACAAGAATAGGCCTGAGGAAGCCCTATTCTTGCAGGAATCTTCTTGCAACGGGCCTCTAGTAGTATTATAAAATTAAAACGCGCATGCGATTGGCACCAGCGAGAGCTTTATATGTATTGCGCATGCGCCAGTCAACATTTATTTTTAAATTGCCAGTGCACGTCATATGTACTGGCCAGTCGGTCGGACAGACGTACAGTCAGTCACTTAGCCTTTTATATATATAGATCTATTTAATTGATTTCAGAGGGAAAGGGAGGGAAAGAGAGAAACATCAATGATGAGAGAGAATCATGGATCAGCTGCCTCTTGCACGCCCATTACTGGGGATTGAGCCCACAACCCGGGCATGTGCCCTAACTGGAATCGAACCATCACCTCCTGGTTCCTAGGTCGGCACTCAACCACTGATCCACACAGGCCGCGTCCAGGTATTTCATTCTAAGTGTGGTTTGGGAAGCAGAGGCCACAACACACAGCTGGCTGCTCGTGGCCTGGACACAGCTAGGGGCCTCCACATGCCAAGAGACTCAGCTTAGTAACTACCTCTCCCCTGGTTGCAGGGAGCACCTACTATGTGTGTGCACAGCCCAGGTTGGAAGGGGTCCAGGGATGCATGTCTTTCCTGATGTCAGCCAGTAAGGGAGGAAGTGACTAATGACAAATGCATCTCTCCGTGACATAATCTTGTATTTTAGCCACATGAGAGAGAAGAGCTGCTGATGTCCCCTCTGCCCATCCCAACCCCATAGTCTTTCAAAGAATGTTCATTTAGTGTTTCAAAGAATGTTTGGCTCAGTGAAAAGAGTATAGGCCTGTGGACTGAAGGGTCCCAGGTTCAGGCACGTACCTCAGTTGCAGGCTTGATCCCCAGCCCCTGGTTGGGTCGTGTGTGAAAGACAAACCAATCGATGTGCCCTCTCTCACATCAATGTTTTCTCTCTCTGTCTCTCTCTCTCTCTCCCACTGTGCCATGCCAGCACGACCAAGGGTGATCCCAAGTGGGGGGGGGGGGAGGGTGAAAGGGGTTAAAGGGAAGGACCGACAAAAAGAATGAAAACTGGG